AGATGGCTTTTGTAAGGGATATCAAACCGATGTAATTTACACAGACTTCAGCAAAGCATTTGATTCAGTTAATCACTCACTCTTGTTGAGAAAACTGAATATGCTGGGTTTTCCTAAAGGATGGAAGGACACAAAGAGTCTTATTTAAAAACATACAGACCCGTCTGGTCCGTGCTACATCCGGCGTCCCTCAAGGAAGTCATCTTGGCCCGTTATTATTTACGCTTTTTATAAACGACTTACCCCCTGCTTTAACGAACTCTCTAGTTCTTATGTATGCATATGATGTAAAGCTTTGTCTTCAGTACAAATCCATCTCTGCCCAATTCAGTCTTCAGTCTGACCTTAATAACTTTCAAAAATGGTGTTTAGCTAATGATCTAATACTTAATGGATCTAAATGCAAACATATGTCTTTTTATCGTTCTTGCCCTCTGCAAGCTACTTATTCTATTAATGGGATTGCCTTAGAAAAATTAACCCAGGTTAATGATCTCGGCATCCTATTAGACATCAAACTTAAATTTGCCGACCATATTTCCTTAATGGTTAATAAGGCTAAAGGAGTCCTTGGTTTTATCAAAAGGTGGTCAAAAGAATTTAATGACCCCTATATAACCAAAACATTATTTATTTCCTTGGTCCGTCCTATCCTAGAGTACGGTTCATGTGTCTGAAGTCCCCAATATGGAGTACATAAGGACCGCATAGAATCCGTACAAAAGAACTTTTTAATATTTGCACTTAGAGGTCTATACTGGGATGCAAATCTTCAGTTTCCATCCTACAGTAGTAGACTTTTACTTATAAACTTACCTAGCTTAACAAATCATAGGACAATGCTCGGTGTAGTTTTTCTGCATAACCTTATTAACGGGGATGTAGATAGCCAGCATTTACTAACACGCTTAAATTTCAACATCCCTAATAGAAGGACTCGAAACTTTAGTCCTCTGTTCCTTAGCCGTTGTAGTTCGACATGTGCACTGCATGACCCTTTTAGGGTATTATGTTCGAAGTACAATGGTCTCTACTCTATTACATCTCTTTCCTGTCCCTCTAATTTAATATATACAATTTTAAATTTCCTTACTAACTCCTCTTAGCTTAACAAATTTCAATTAGCTTAATATGTACTAACAAATCGTTTCTCGAGCGCCCCTCGGTCGTCTGGGCCTCTAAGCTTTATGATGAATACAGGAATGCTAGCTGATGCTCTTATTGATGCAAGCCATTTCCAAATTCTGAAAGACCGCGAAAAAAAAAAAAAAAAAAAAAGGCACGGGTTGCCAGTCATAACTTTAACCAAAGATTATAAAGTACATAGATGGGACATCTCATACAAAGAAAAACTTTCTATGGCGGGTTCCAGCAGTGGAACCCTCTGGAACGAGCGGGTTCCATTGCGCGACAAGTTAAGTTTGAGAAATTTTTCGCGTGACAACGAATGAGGAATAGCCGAGTGATAGCAAAGTAAAACGAGTTCAAACCAGGCACGGGAGGTCCATTTTTTTTTAATTTTAAATCTATTTATATTATTGTTTTATTATCTTAATGTGTTTTCCTAAATTAATAATCCATTAAAAAAAAATACAAAATTGTAAAATAACCTTAACATCGTCTCAGTTCGTAGTGGAACCCGCTGTAAAAATGTCTATAAGTGCGGGTTCTACGGCATTTTGGTAGGCCGCGTCGTGGAACCCGCTCTTATGTTTTAATTTTTTCCGTCGTGGAACCCGCTGTAATAATGAAAACATTTGAGAGCGGGTTCCACGACAAACGGCTGGCAGATGAGATAGGGAGAGAGAGAATTCTATTTTTAGATCGTAACATCTTTGGAACGATGAAAGTTTGAAACGTTGTAATCGAACCAATGTAAGAGTAAAGAGATCAGATATATCTTTTACTATCCTTACTCGTCAGCTCTGTTTTTGGTATAGTTTCTTGCGCCTTTTTTAACACCAAATTTAAGTATCATAAAATCAACTTAGAGGGTAGCCTAGATGGATAGTGCGTGGTCCTTACTCATGGGGTCCTGGGTTCGACTTCATTAGCGGGCGGTTGTTTCAATTTTGATAAAGTTTTAGTTTTATGATTCTTTTTATATTTATTTTTATTTTTTTGTTATTTTTTTTTTTACTTTTAATTTTTACGTTATTATTATTATTTTTAATTGCATTTTACAACAATTAAAGTAAAAATAAGTGACGGACGTGTCGGATGACAAAATGCCGGAAGGACTCCCTTGAAATTTTATTAGCCGGACATAATGAAGATTTAAACAATTTTACAATTGTAAAATTAAAGAAAAATATTACAATTAAAGAAAAAAAAAATAATAATAATTATAAAAGAAAGAAAAAGTTCAAAGTCCTTACGAGGATTTTAACACAGAAAAATTCCACATAGAGTAACTACTCTATGCATTACGCTACTATCCTGTCTCGATCTGCGGCGATCAAAAATACTATTTGTTCTACCAACTACCACATCGGCGCATCGAAAACAGAAACGAGAAATTGAAATTTGAAAAATTACTCCGTCGTGCGAGCAGTCACACATACATACATAGGTTCACATTTTTGTTGACGGGTACATGTAAAGAGTTCTAAAAATAGAATCGTATGCATGTGCGTTTCCCCCCTCACCAACAAGCTCGATGCAAAAAGTTGACCGTTTTGGGCCCTGATGTCCCATCTATGTACTTTATAATCTTTGCTTTAACATAACTTGCGTATGTCACATTTTGATCAGAATTGATGAGTATCTGGCTGCGGTCGAGAAGAAGACTTCAGGATTTGATCTGGAGGGTGTCACTTTTCATTTAGGGTGCGAGCAGTAATTCCTCTCTAAGTGTGCCACCGCAGTTGCCGCAGGTAACTCTCCAGGCGCAGTTTACAGTATGACCTTGTATGGCCATATTCTTGGCAGTTCGCATATTGTACCGGGACATTGCGTTTGTGAGGTTCGTCAACTGTAATTCTGCGGTGCAGCAGGAACTGAAGATTGTATATACGGTGCACTTCGAAATAGTATTTCTTCAGGGGCTTATATTCTGGTTTGAGCTGAACCTTAAGGAGTGACTGCGGCTTTTTATCCCTGTTGTTTATTGTAGACCTCCTTTTTTGTAATTCCCTTATCTTCCCCAGTAAATCCCAGTGATAATTATGTGAAAGTATTATGTGGAACTTTGTATTATGTGGAATTTATCCTTGCCAATCATTGAGCTTGATTTTGTTGACATTGGAACTTTTTCTCGTATATAAATAGGCGGAGGCTTTGGCTTCCTTTTCTTCGCTTCAGTTGATGTGGCAATCTTAACCTCGTAGACGTCTGCTAAGATTAAGTCGATTAAAGTTTAAGGGCGTTTCTACTGCAACTAGGCTAGCATTGCCACGGGCTGTTTTGCGTTAAGAACTTAGGGGGCTCCGTTTCCTTTTGATTTGGATGTAGCGATGCAGCACAGCGGGCTGTACCACAGCGGGCCTTATATATTCTTTGTTTTTGTTCTGTTTTTCAGGCAATGCAGCGGCAGACGTTTTAATTTTTTGCGCTGCTAGCTGATGATGTTGTTAAACGCCCTGTTGATACATTGCGGTTGTTTTTGTTGGTTGACGTTGTTAAAGAAATTGCGGTGCCAGATACTGCGCTTTTTGGCTGCAGAGACATCGATGGTAGCGAGGGGGAGCAAGAACGCACTCTCTCGCTCTCTACGTTTAAGACTTCGGTCAAGTTGGGGTTAATTGACCACGCTGGATTAGAGCTTGCATTATTTTGGGTTGCTTTAAAAGAGAAGTACGTGCTGTTTCTTTGTACTGTATTAACTAATCAATACAAAAATTGGCCGTTTCATCGCTAAAAGTGGACATTCTACGAGCCTTCTTCTGCTTTTCAAATTAACTAGAATTCTTAAGCCTTGTGGGTCAAATCCCATATTATAGGCTTCGACCTGACCGCACAAATTAGATTGACTTTATCCTCGCGACAATTTTTTTCTCTCAATTTTCGCTCAATGTTTTGCCTGTCAAAATAAATCAAATGAATTCTTTTTACACCCCGAATCTAGGAGGCAAAAATTTCTTCTTCCTTTAGTGCTAGGCTATATTTAGTAGTATATTTATTACCAAATTTCATAAGGATCGGCCGTCTATATCCTATAGCTGGCATATATGATAGAGATAGAGATAGAGATAGAGATAGAGATAGAGATAGAGATAGAGATAGAGATAGAGATAGAGATAGAGATAGAGATAGAGATAGAGATAGAGATAGAGATAGAGATAGAGATAGAGATAGAGATAGAGATAGAGATAGAGATAGAGATAGAGATAGAGATAGAGATAGAGATAGAGATAGAGATAGAGATAGAGATAGAGATAGAGATAGAGATAGAGATAGAGATAGAGATAGAGATAGAGATAGAGATAGAGATAGAGATAGAGATAGAGATAGAGATAGAGATAGAGATAGAGATAGAGATAGAGATAGAGATAGAGATAGAGATAGAGATAGAGATAGAGATAGAGATAGAGATAGAGATAGAGATAGAGATAGAGATAGAGATAGAGATAGAGATAGAGATAGAGATAGAGATAGAGATAGAGATAGAGATAGAGATAGAGATAGAGATAGAGATAGAGATAGAGATAGAGATAGAGATAGAGATAGAGATAGAGATAGAGATAGAGATAGAGATAGAGATATTGTATCGGATTGTAGCTTCCCGTGACGATTTTACTTGATTTTAAGTTTCGTGTAGTGAAACATGTATTTATGCATAAACAAATATTTCTATCTGACAAGTTCTTCAATTGTAAAATAAAAATACATTTTTTTTAATCTTAATAATATTGGTACTTCTTAATTGCGTAAATGAGGATACTATAATTAAGGCCATAGTTAGTGGTTAACGTTAACTAACAAGTATGCATATTAACTAAATTTTTTTTTTATTTACAAAAATACATTTTTATGATTTTTAAATGAATTTTATTTTACAGATGTTAAATGGCCAGCCTCCGGATAAACCTTGAGCACCCGCCATGACATTAAAAAATCTTTAAAAAATTATACAAAGATACTAATTAATAATTGAATAAAAATATAATGAAATTTGTTACGATGAGAACTTTTTGGAAAAATTCTTTCACAGGAAAATATTTGGGAAGGAATCAAAGAAGCACAAAAACAAATGTATAAAATCGGAGATTTAAACTTTGGATGAGTCTTCCAAAGATATGGTAGGTGGTAGGTGCCATTTTTATACCCTTGCAGAGGGTATTATAATTTTGTCCAAAAGTGTGCAACGCAGTGAAGGAGACATCTCCGACCCTATAAAGTATATATATTCTTCAGGATCACCTCCTGAGTTGATATGAGCATGTCCGTCTGTCCGTCTGTCCGTCTGTCTGTCTGTCCATCTGTCTGTTTCTACGCGAACTAGTCTCTCAGTTTTAAAGCTATCGTCTTGAAACTTTGCACACACTCTTCTTTCCTTTGCACGCAGTATATAAGTCGGAACGGCCTGGATCGGCCGACTATATCCTATAGCTGCCATATAACTGATTGATCGGAAATGGTATAACTTTGGTGTTTTTAGAGTTAGAGAGTTCAAATTTGACATTAGAGCTATTTTTGGCAAAACATTACGTCATGCCAAATTTCATTAGGATCGGCCGACTATATCCTATAGCTGCCATATAACTGAACGATCGGAAATGACCCAACTTTCGTGTTTTTGAAGATAGAAAGCTGGAATTTAATACAGATTAGTTTTGGTCAGTTGATCCAACCTATCAAATTTCATTAGGATCGGCCGACTATATCCCATAGCTGCCGTATAACTGAACGATCGGAAATGGTATTTGGTAGAACTTTGGTATTTTTGAAGATAGAAGTTTTATATCGCAAATATCGGATATAGAACAACTATATCCGATATTTGCGATATATATCCGGTTTTAACTGCAAGGGTATATCAACTTCGGCTCCGCCCGAAGTTAGGTTTCCTTTCTTGTTTTTTTTAATTCTGTTTAGCCAACCATTTCTGGTGATCTGTTAAAATGCAATTCACTCTTGGATCCATAAAAATTGCAGATAACAAAGCTTCGTTCTCTAACAACTTACACTCTCGAAGTTTGATTTGTGCCAATAATTTTTTTTTCAGCTTAATTTCCATCCAAATAATGAAAAATTCACTATAAACTAAATTTGTAGCCTGCAGCTTTATGGTCGCATCATATTCGTCCTTGAAAGCATCGACATACGTCTCCATCCAGTCCCATTCTACGGCAGTATTAATGCTACACTGAGTGCCCAAAAACTCTTTTAGGACAAGTAGTTTTTTTTTAACTCCACCTAGTGACAACATCGAGCGATGGTATAGTTTTGTTGTGTTCGATTAAGACGCGTCTGCGCAGGTTATATAATATATTTATTTTATACATGTATACAAAAAATATATTTCTATTTAACCTTTACTTACCTATAAGTTTCAGTGCGCAATGTTTTGCATAATTTGCGGCAGATACTAATGTTTTCCGTAATCTCGCTCAGCTTTTTTACATCATAGACGCACAGTAGAAGAGTGTGCGCAGCACACCTTACGAGATGCTTGCTAATATTTGCTAAATCCAGAACATCCAGCTTACCCATCAAATTTTCCTCTTCTCTGTCATCTTCAAAAAGGGATTCCTCCGTTTCGTCATTAAGAATTTCTACGGCTTTGAGCATGTTTCTCCCATTATCAGAAGTAACACTGCGTATATAAATTTTTCTCTTTAATAACAAACATATTAAACACTAACTGAAAACACATTTTTACCTAAAGATTTGATCAAGATCAATGCCATATTCGTCAAGAATTTCAAAAAATTTTGTCTTTAATGTATACCCCAGTGTGTGCATGGGTGAGCAAATCAAATGCAAATTTTTTTAAAAGCACCTTAAAAGAGTAAAAAACGTTTTTTTTAAGGATGGAAAAATTGATAAAAGTCAAATATTTTAAGTGTAACAATTCTTACTTCTCACAGCTGCCTTTATCGTCATGCTCATGACACATTTCTTAGCGTGAGTCCCCTTCCACGAATACATCAGTGCAACCTTATCCAAAAATATTTTCTTAAACGTCGTGCGCAACAATTTGGCAGGATCAGAAACATTACAATTTTTCATTTCTGATTCCTATAAAAGAAATGGAAATATAAAAAAAAACGACTGCACTTTATTAAAAATTACAGAGCATTTTTAGTTATTCTTACTCTTAGAAAACACTCTTAAAACCGGCTCTTTTCAGACACATAATTTTAAGCCCTCCTAATTTTGCTTGCTGGGAGCTTGTTCCTAACATTGATAATTCCATTATAGAGCTGCTTTTCTTTCTGAGTTGAAAAACTGCAAAACAACAGTGAAGCGAGGGGAGCAGTATACGGTGGCTAGTGTAAGTTGGTTGCCAGTATTCAGTTGCATATTTATAGATGTGGGCTGTAAGTAGTTTTAGAATTCCAGTCCCACCATGTGCTTTACCATCCGGATGATTTGTTTCGTAGAATGAATGTCGCCGTAGTTGAAAATTGTATTTGTTTGTAAGGTAAGTTTCTGAAAGCATTACGTCGATATGATTGTCAAGTAGGAATTGAGCTGTGAAGGTTAAGCTGTAAAACGCCGTTAGCTGTAAAAAGTCATTATTTGAACTGTTGTGGTTTTACATAAAATCTTGCAAAGTTGTGCGGATTAATGACACAAGTTCCGTAAGAATTTATTGTAGGCTGCATATTATAGCTTTAAAGTAGCTTTTTGGTTGCTCCGGCGATTGATACTGTTGAGCCATGTTCGGTTCTTGGTATGATGATTGCAAAAATTACCTTTTAAGGTAATTACTTCCCTCTCTTTATTTCACTTCCCTCTCTTTCTTTCAAGCGAACGGTCGTGTTTTTTTTGTGCGCACTGCGTTTTTGACAAATATTGGTAAACCGGTGTTTACATACCTTGTGAATTAAATTTTGTGAATCTTAACAATCTTAAAGCCTAAACCGTATCGCTTCATGAGTGCTGTGGTATATTTGGAGTCGAATTAATAATTTTTCTAAATTCTATTCCAAGCATAGCTCAGCTCTGCTTCTTCCCCGGCTTATCTATATTTCTGCATTTCTCTTTTGCACTCTTTCAAAGCTCCCGCTTCGGCTTCTTGTTTGGCACAGTGGTTTAAGGTATTGTGTTTTTAACTTTTTAAATATTAATTTTTGTCTTATTAAATAAAAAAAAATAATAATAAATAAAATGGAATTTAAACTGGTCTGTGCCATTAAGTCTTGCAACAAGACAATTTCCACATCCCAGCCTAGTATCCATTGCTGGTTATGTGAAAACGTCGTGCACGCCAAGTGTGCCGGTTTCACTGCATCAGTTTCGGATGCCATTTCCCGTAGGTCTGGGATACATTATTGTTGCGAAAATTGTCGTGCTGTGCAAGGCGAAATGAGGTCGTTCATGAGACAGACCAAAAATGGATTTAAAGAGCTGATCACTGGTTTTCGTAAAATCAATGACCAGCTCTGTGCGCTTGACACTCAATTTAGTGGCCTTCAGCTGCTAAATGAGTCCCCTAAGCGTAAGAAATCCGCTGTTTCTGATCCGCCTCTGCCTGCTCAGCCGACATTAATGCAGCCGCTTATATCTCTGGCCACCCCAAGGGCTAGAACTGAGAAAAATTCGTCAGAATTTCTCAGGGATAATGAGCAATTGTCCGATATGTCCGCCATGGCATCCCTTCAAGTGATGCCACAGGTCCTAGGGAACGAAACCCCCATTAGAGTCACCCAAAAGGGTATTCCACAGTCCGGACCACCGGCACCGACTGATGCTGCAGTTCTCGTACCTGCGACACCAAAACCCTTACAGGTGATTCCTCCATCGAAAGATATATTTGTTTCTCGGCTTGCCCCTGATACTTCAGAGATTGATATCTCGGCTTATATCAAAGCCAAAACAAAAGCCGATATAAAAGTGGAGGACATAACTAAATTTAAATATAATTATACAAGGCGCACGTCTTCTTTCAAGATTCGTGTGCCCGCGCTGATGTTCAAGACGATTTGTTCTCCCAGTTTTCGGCCAGAGAATCTTTTCGTCCAAGAACATCAGCCTATCGGATTGTATTGTATCGGATTGCATTGTATCGGATTGTAGCTTCCCGTGACGATTTTACTTGATTTTAAGTTTCGTGTAGTGAAACATGTATTTATGCATAAACAAATATTTCTATCTGACAAGTTCTTCAATTGTAAAATAAAAATACATTTTTTTTAATCTTAATAATATTGGTACTTCTTAATTGCGTAAATGAGGATACTATAATTAAGGCCATAGTTAGTGGTTAACGTTAACTAACAAGTATGCATATTAACTAAATTTTTTTTTTATTTACAAAAATACATTTTTATGATTTTTAAATGAATTTTATTTTACAGATGTTAAATGGCCAGCCTCCGGATAAACCTTGAGCACCCGCCATGACATTAAAAAATCTTTAAAAAATTATACAAAGATACTAATTAATAATTGAATAAAAAATATAATGAAATTTGTTACGATGAGAACTTTTTTGGAAAAATTCTTTCACAGGAAAATATTTGGGAAGGAATCAAAGAAGCACAAAAACAAATGTATAAAATCGGAGATTTAAACTTTGGATGAGTCTTCCAAAGATATGGTAGGTGGTAGGTGCCATTTTTATACCCTTGCAGATAATTATAATTTATATATTATATTATATTATAATTTTATAATATTATAATATAATATTATAATTATAATTATTATTATATTGCTCATTATCGTGTTTTTGAAGATAGAAAGCTGGAATTTAATACAGATTAGTTTTGGTCAGTTGATCCAACCTATCAAATTTCATTAGGATCGGCCGACTATATCCCATAGCTGCCGTATAACTGAACGATCGGAAATGGTATTTGGTAGAACTTTGGTATTTTTGAAGATAGAAGTTTTATATCGCAAATATCGGATATAGAACAACTATATCCGATATTTGCGATATAT